CCAGGCCAGCCATGACTGCTTTGGGCAACTACCGTGTTGATGCCATTGGAGGGGCTCTGTCGTCTTTGCGGCCCTTCCTGGCCATCTTGGAATGATTCCTCCGTATTCTTTCGTCTTAATTTCTCTGCTTCCTTCCTGCCGTCCAGGGTCATTACCATTACCAACCTCTGACTGCCTGCTCTCAACTCAACCTGTTAAGTAAGGAGCACCGTACCTTATGCTATTTACAGCATCACGGGCCGAATGTTCTAGGCTTTCTCCCCTTTCTCCATCCCAATCAAACACAGCATTGCGTGTACCCGATCCGATCAACCGAACGAAGCCTAACAAAACCTCGTTGCCCAGAAATTGCCTGCTCTAAATCGGTATGTCCTTCCCGTAAACACTCCACTATCCAAAAGCCCAAGGCCCCCCCAAACCCCCAAACATGCCCGGGTAGCTAGAGAAACAGCAAAAACGTGGAGCTGGATCCATGCTCCCAAACGCCGTTGGAGGGGACCTGGCGTCATTAGAAGGGATGAGACCCTCTGATAGGTGCGGTGACATACGGGTGTTCGGATGCTTGTCTCTGCCCTACCAGGCACGGGGGCTCTGACGACTGCGAGCCCCCGCCATTGGCGGTTTTTACGGGGGCCCCTGCTGCGAATTTCAGCCGCCACCGAGCTGCTACCCTTTTGCAATCGCCGAGTACCTACCTAGCCCAAGTGTGGCCCAGCCTGGTCCCGTCTGCTGTAGCTCGCTCTTTACCTTAAGGTAGGTACTTTTAGAGATGCTTAGTGTTTACGCCCATAGCTCCGTCGTCTGGTTTTACGCTCGAATACGAACTCCGTCTAGCGAGCTTTTCGTTGCTTTTCCTCCGACCGATCTTTCTTAGCCTCGCTTCTCATGTCCAAGCGTGCATTGTACATTGTGCTTGTGAGTTGGGATGCTGGACAGATAAGACGCCATTGATGAGTGACACAGCGATGGCTTCGTTGACGGGAAGCAGCATTAGCCTCGATTAGGTATTACATGCGACCAGGAGACACATTCGCTTCGGCCAGTCATGCAGCAAGATGAGCCCCTGCTTCCGTATCTACTTGGTATCTGTCTGCTTCGCATGACTTTTATCTACACCCAAGTTTGCTGCACGCATCAACTGCTGTGCGACACGCCACCTCACCTCTACTTCCTCTTCTTCGCCTTGCCAGTGTCGGCACCAGTGGCCTTGTCAGCAATCTCCTTCACCTTCTCCACCGTGGGGTCGCTCTCCAGCAACTCCTTGGCCTTGGCCTTCTCCTTGTCCGTCTCCTCCTCGTCCTCACCGCCCTGGCCAAACTCGTTGACACGGGTGTAATCGGTCTTGTACGCATAGCGCTGGTAAAGGTAAATAAAGAAGATGATGTCGTCACGGAAAGTCGACAGACGGTGCAGGAAAGGCATCTTGATGGTGAACGCGAACAGGTCGTCGATGAAGGTGTTGAGGAACTTGTACATCATCGCCTTGGCCGGCATGTGTGCAACGCTCTTGAGTCTGTAGTTGATGTACAGAGAGGGAACCATCATGAGGAAGCCGGCGCCGTAGACAGACGAGACGAGGACCGCGAGGACGTACGAGTACCACGACTTGTGCGTCTCATACACCAAAGAGTAACCGGCATATCCGAGAAGGATAGGAACTCCTGCGATGTACATGTACTTGAAGGCGATCTCGTCGTATTCCTTGGTCTTCTCCTCGGTCTCGCTAAGCTTGTGCTTGTCCTCGAAGACAACGGAGAATGGCAGCCATGACCCAGGCGGAGCAGGTTTGATGGCCACATTGACGACCGTCGTGATCTTCCAGAGCTCAATGACGATTCCAACGGCCTGAGAACCAAGAATCATCCAGCTAGTGTTCGTCGAGTTGTCGATGAGGTAGAGCAAGATAACGGCCTGCATGAAAACGTTGGCCAGGATGGAGCGGACGGAGATACCAACGTTATCCTTCTTCTTGCGGTAGTGAGCGATGTCGGATCCGAAGGCGAGCGTCTCCAAGATGATGTGTGCAATGCTGACAACGACTGTAATGCCGAGGAGGATGGGGTTGGTGTCAATGAAGATCTCCTTGACCATCTCGATCTCAGAGCCGTCACCGCCGCCAGGCAGAGAGTTGCCGTAGGCAGCCTGACGAGCAGACTCCTTTGCACTCGCCTCGATAGCAGCAAGGGTGTTGAACTGCCATGAACGCAGGTTGTTCAAATCAATATGAAGAGGAACCTCGGTGACGGTATCGTTCAGCAGCATCATCTGGCTCTTGAGCTGCCAGAAGGTGTTAACGAACAGAATGGGGTCTGGCACGGGTTAGTCATGATCATCTAGAGACATGTGTGGGTTTGCTACTTACAGTACCAGGAGTGCTTGCCAGAACCATCTCTCGCGCCCGTCGGCTCGAGTTGGAGGAACTGGCGGATAGCGGGGTGGGTTTGACGGTACTCCAGAACCCCGGTATTCGGAATCATGGACAGACTGGCATTGGGGTGGTAGTAGCTGGCGATAATGGGACCAGTGTCTTGCTCCTCGACAACCGGCTCAGGTTCCTCCTCGGCCTTGTCCAAGAGCGATCTTGTCTTGAACTCCTTCTTCTTGGGGATGTACTGGGTGAGAGGGAACGCAAAGTAGTAGGCCGAAGCGGGATCGAAGGTATCAACGTGAGGGTCGGGCTGTGCTCCGGGGAGCGACACGTAGAAGTGACCCCACAGAGTACCGTTGTTCTGAACAGAAGGGGGGATCTTGATGGTGGTATCCACGGAGCGCTTCTCGCTGTAGTTTCCAAGCTTGAACTTCTCCTCCTTCAATACCAGCTTCTCCTGAGGCGTCTGCGACAGCGGGGTGGGAACGACGCTGTCGGAAACAGTGACGATAATGTCGACGTAGCTATCCATGGGCCAGATCGGGGCCAGCTTGTGGGGGATCTGGCTAAAGGTGGCACCCTCGTTCAACTCCTTGGGGCGAAAGAGATACGGGGGGATGTCTTCGGTGTTGGCGGGAACGCTGACGACGTTACCGTCGGCGTCCTTGACCTGAGTGCCCGACTGATTCTTCTGGAACACGTTGTTCATGAGCATGTTCATGCCGAAGTACACACTGGCGCCGAGCAGCAACTTCTGCGTCATGCTCATACCCTGCCGAGACAATTAGGTCAGTATTTTGTCGCGACATCTAGAACCGAGGCTCGGGGCCGAAAACTCACGCCTTCCTCCTGCGGAGCAGCCGGCCGAGCCGGCGCGTTGGGCTGAGACATGCTGTTTGTCAAACACCTGCGCTGGCAAGGGGAGCAAGTCGAAGCCGAAGGATAACAGATCGCGTGCTCTTTGCAGACGACGATGCGGGCAACAATGCGGCAGGTTGCACAATGGCCTCGGCGTGCGTCTGGCGGAAGAGGCTGGCTGTTTGCTCGGGCACAGACAGCTTGTCGCGAGTTGGCACCTTGTCGAGCAGAGTCACGAAAGATACCGTGTCTTCTCCGGCGCGGGAACCGTGGGAGTTGGCGAGCGATGTCGGTTGGAGAGGTGAAATCTGGAAGGGTCCGAAGAGGAAGGCAAACTTAACGGGGACCCCTGGGTTTGACAGATTGCGTGCTGTTCGGGCGAATCAACGGCCGAGGCGCCGCCACGACCCAGAAAGCTGGGCTGGGCGGGGTTCTTAAAGATGCAGCGTCTCTAAACATTACATGTTCTTCCAACAGTAACAACTCATCCGGCATTTCTCAGTTTGTAGGGCATCTTTCTCTTCATTCAATCTTCCTTTTCCAAGAAGGTTGTTGGTCGATTGGTACTTGATTCAAGATACATACATACCCTTGGCTTAGGTACTCTGCAATAGTTGAAGGCCCACCACTTGATAGCGGGCAGATTGGGGGCCCTGAGATCTCCGCGGCAAACAGCGAGGGTCGCCCGGAGCACCAGGAGAACAGGGGCCTATAAGGTTGCAGTGCAGTGCAGTTCCCCCAAGGGCGGGGAGAGCCCGTAGCACTGGCCAGTAGATGCTAAATTGCACCTCCGGCTGGAGCAGCCGTCAGCACCTGATGTTGCTCTTGCATCAAAGAAAGGCACACTTCTGTCTCTTCCAGCGTGCCACAACCTATGACATCCTTGACATCCTGGACCCCGTTAGCCAACGTCTAACACCGACTCAGATCAGGACCCAAAGAGACACTCTTCACGCCTCTGCCATCCATTCGGCAACGGCACTGGGCACACGTGAGGCACCGTGTCGTTACACGTGTACATGCCTGTCAAGAAGTGGCATCTGCCAATTGGCCTGCGTTGCGTCAAGTATTCTTCATCGCTGACAACATGGACTCGTTTGCGAGTGAGTGCCGCTGCTATCTACCTAGGATTCAGACGGTTGCTTTGAGCATCCCTTGGCTCGCTGGCGCCACTGCCCTCTTCCCCGACTTTAGGCATCCTCTGATTCCCGCCACTACGGTCATCCTAGCGGGACGGCCCAGTAGAGTCATCAACGGGAGGCCAGAACTGCGCACCGCGTGGCACTCGGACCTCGCCGGCAGGTCACCTGAACACTTGTGCGGGCCAGTCGCTGCGTAACAAGTTGACAAACCAGACACGCTTGGCTGTTGCAGACGGTGAAATGGGAACCCCCAAGAGCCGTCTCGTGTCGAGGCGATGAGAGGCGAGAAGGAAAGAAACCGAGTCCTTCTGAGGTAAGCTGGAGAAAGGTCGTGTTCAACAAGAAAAACCAGGAGTCAGTCGTGTGCCTTGTCTCGCCCGGTCCCAAATCCACGTCCATGTCAACAAGCCCAACACCGGCGGACGTAGCTTCACCGTCACACCGCACCCGTCTCCTGTCCTCGTTCCCGGCTACGGGCTACGAGACACAGGGCCCTCTGCTTTGCTTTTCCCATTCCCAGCTGGGCCTACGCATCGACCTAAATCGTCCACTACTGTACCGGCAAGAGGGGCCACGGATCCCCGAGCGAACCTTCTGAAGCCAGAAGCAACCACAAGGAGCCAGAGGAGCAGATGAGCCAAAGAAAAGGCGACATCATCTCGCGCCGTGTCCAGGTGTCGTTCCAGCTACCTGCGCTAAACCGCCAAACAAGTCCTTCGGCCCGCCGCCCATGCGCCGCAGCGGTAACTGACATCTCGTTGTCTCATTCCCATCTGTGCTTGCTCTCGCCTCGTCCAATCTTTCCTTTCTTTTTCTACCTTTATTCCCCTACATGTCATTGCCAGGATATTGATACACCAACTCGCCAACCCCATCGCCCTCCTGAACCCCAACCAACACTTGCTGCAGACGAGACAAACTTGCCTCCCTTTTCGAGCCCGAGACTCCATCCTGAGAAACGTATATAACTGCCCTCTCTTTCACCGCCATCTCCTCTCCCCTTTTCTCAGCTTCTCTCGTGGGCTTCTCTCTCTTTTGACTTTTTGTTGGAATTTTCCTCATCTGACATCCCGCTACTCAGTCTTTGAAACTATTTCGGAAGACGCCGTGAACCGCACAGTTGTTTCCGGCGTGACTCCTTCTCTCTATCTCTACAACTCCCAATCCGTAACGTCCCCACAAAAGTACCGTCATCTTGACCCCCCGGGTGTGTGTCTGTCTGTCTCCCAACGTATTAAGACCGCCCAGCATCATCTCATCGTAAGCCACGCAGTCTCTTGGTCTCTCCCTCCAACCAAATAGAAACAAAAGCCACTAACTCTGGGGAAAAGAACTTCAATCACAGCAACCTGTTTTGAACTGTGTTTCTATTCCATCTCTCAACACATCAAGAATAAGCCGCAACAATGCAGTCCGGCGGCCCTTCCCCATTCCCGGTGTCCCGGGACGGAACTCCCAGTGGCAACGGCAACGGCACAACCAACGGCAACACCAATGGCACAACCACCAACGGCACAAATGGCGTGCAACGCAGGGCAAAGATCTGTGTCTACTGCGGCGCCTCTCCCGGTTTCAAGCCCCAGCACATGGAGGCTGCCCGTGAGTTGGCAAGAATCATGGCCGAGAACAACATCGACCTCGGTGAGTCACCTTTCATCCTTTCTCTCTCTCACTACATCTTCGGCCGCCACAGGTCTCAGTCATGACACACGATGACAACCTAAGTGGCGCACCAACCCCAAGACAACATGAAACGTGCAGCTCTCAATCATCCTTCAATAAACTAACAAAACTACCAGTCTACGGCGGTGGCACCGTCGGCCTGATGGGCGAGGTGGCAAAGTCCCTCGTCGCCCTCGCCGGCCCGGACGCAGTCCACGGCATCATCCCCGAGGCCCTCGTCAAGTACGAGCGCGACGGGACCTACGGCACCCTCAACAAGGACAACATGTACGTCCCCGACGAGACCGTCTACGGCCGCACCACCGTCGTCAAGGACATGCACACCCGCAAGCAGATGATGGCCAAGGAGGTCTTCGCCGGCGGCCCGGGCTCCGGCTTCATCGCCCTGCCCGGCGGTTACGGCACCATCGAGGAGGTCCTCGAGACCGCCACCTGGAACCAGCTCGGCATCCACGACAAGGGCATCTGCCTGCTCAACATCAACGGCTTCTACGACGGCATTCTCGAGTGGGTCCGCAAGAGCGTCGACGAGGGCTTCATCAAGCCCGCCAACGCCGACATCCTCGTCACCTCCACCACCCCCGAGGGCGCCATCAAGGCCCTGAGGGATTACAAGGTCTCGGAGGCCACCTTCAAGCTCGACTGGTCCAACTCTTGAATCACTCACCGGTAAAACTCATGTTTCTCTCTAAAGCGGCGGAGGTGTAATCTTGAATGACTGGGAGACCGAGGGACTGAGGAACTAAAAAGGAGGCGGAGGGCAAATACGTGTGTATGTATGTGCTATGCGAAAACGGATGCGTACCGGAGTCTGGCGCCCTTCGTGTTTCCCCCCTTCTGCATCGCGCTTCGGCTGGGTTGGGTCATTCGCAAAAAGGGGCTTGCCTGCGTCTTCGGGTCGGCCCTGGTTACACACGAACCAAGACATTGGATGGTGTTTGTGCATTGTTGGCTGTAGTTTTTGTTGATAGATCACCATAAAGAGTTACACAACCGAGATAACAAACTGAAAAAACAAAATCATACAAACTGTCTCGGTCACAAACAGTGCAAGTGTCGGGTGCGCGGGGCTTCGTCTCATTGAATCATCGGATGCAGCTCATTCATCGGCTGTCAAATCTCCTTTTCCGTGGTGTATTGGTACAAGTCTAAATGGGCCGGCTCGCGTTTTGCTCCTGCCAATCTCAGCAAGTCCAATCCGTTTCCGCAGAGAAAACGCAACGGTCCTGCGTGATGTAGTCCGATGCAACGCGAGGGTTTTACCATCCCAAAGAACCGCCTTCCCTTCCGTGTCTCACGTCCGTCTATTCGTCAACCTCCATACCCTCAGCACCCTCCTCGCCGCCGCCCTGGCCCTCGCTCGCCGCGACGCTGTCGATCCACTCTTTGACGTCCTGGCCGTCAAACATCTTGAACGGCTCGATAACCTTCAGACCGTCCTTCTCCGTGAAACCGATAACGCCAACGCTCGTGTTCTCGACCGTCAGCTCGCGGTCCTGGACGAGGGACTCCTTCAGAGCCTTGAGGCCGTGGCGCACAAGCTCCTCGCGAGAGCAGTTCTCGAACTGGTCGATGTTGCGCTCGAGGTAGGTACGGGCCATCTGGGAGCGGGCGCCGATGGCGAAGGCCAGCATCTCCTCCGTCATGCCGGAAGGCTGGAACTCGAAAAGGTGTGGCCCACGCTCGTCGACACCGGCGACGAGGAGACCGACACCGTAGGGGCGCTTGCCGTAGACCTGCGTGTTGATCTGGGCCTTCTCACCAATCATATCGACGAGGGTGCGCAGAGGCATCGAGCGGCCGTACGTCATGCGGTGACCGAGACATTGCTGCTTCATGAAGTTGGAAAGGACGCGGGCGTCTGAGGTCAGGCCTGCGATGGCAATGCCGGCGTGCTCATCGACAGGGAAGATCTTCTTTTGGTAGGATGAAAGCTCCTCGGCGTTGCGCTGTGCGGGTGTGACTGGTTAGCCTTCGGTCTCCGGAGACTGGGTCGGGCGTGAGAGGGAAGGGATGGAGTTGTGATAATGTGAATGACTGCGTGCTGGTGACATCGTTCGTACCTTGATTGCTACCAGGACGGCATGTGTTTTGCTGGCAATGCCTACTACCACGGAACCCTGCTTCACTGCTTCGGCTGCATACTCGATCTGGAATATACGGCCTTGCGGCGAGCTGTGTGTCGTGTTGCGTCAGCGAAACTGTTCGTCGTGATGGTGCTCGCCTCCACCGCCAGCCGGGGGCGGCAGGGAAGGCTGAAGGGCAGCCAAACGGGGAACCTACAATGTCACCGAGTCGTTGTCGTAATTGTTTCTGAACATGGCGGGCGTAAGGGAGTGATCGTAGCTTCGTCAAGCAGTTCAATTAAGCTGCCGTCGATATCGTGTCGTGGGTTGAATGGGAGGGAGAGGGAGAGGGAATCGCGGGGTGGTTTTCGTGGTTGTTGGGCAAGAAGAGCAGCAGCGGGAGCAGTTACGGCGGAGAGTAGAGCTTGTGGATAATCAACCCCCCCAGGCCAGCTCAAGGCAGGTCGAGCTTTCGTAGCACTCTCTCAGCCTGGAGCAAGGGTGTGGATGCGTGTGGTGTGTGCTCCGTGCATTTGAGCTACGTACCTCCACGCCGGGGTCTTGCCGGGTGGGGATTAGCTCAGCAGGAACTGGCAGCTTCAACTGGACTGGACCTGACCGGGACTGGACCTGAGCGACCGGCTGGAACAAGGTTGCGCCGTGCTGCGCTGACGACGGCCGCCAGCAGCAGCACACGACGCTGAGGTGCGTCAGGGCCGCCAGAGGACCCGCCATCGCATCCCAGCTTCAGCCTGCTACCTTACTCCCAGCCAGCCGAGCCGCGACAACGACAGCCGAACCTTCCCACCTGCACGAAAGCAACCGACACGACTCCCCGACTTGACCAACACATCGGCGATTTCCTTCATCCACGACTTGCGATCCTTTTCAGGAAAATCGATTCGAAGCCCCGACGGGGCCCTAATTCCAACCCGATACCTCTCCGAAACAAGAAGCGCAACCCACTTTGACACTCCTCGACGCTCCGACATCCAAGATGCCTACCGCAGGGCTCAAGACCATCATCGCCCTCTCCTTCGTCCTCGCCGTCGGTTTCCTCCTGGTTATTCTCTCCTGTGCCCTCTGGAAGGTCTACTACCCGCTCCTCGTCGTCGCCACTTACGTGCTGGCCCCGATCCCCAACTGGATCTGCTCGCGATGCGCCAACCCCGATGACTTTGTCGAGAGCTCGGGCGCCGCCGTGCTGGACCTCGGCCGCTTCTGCACTGGTTTCCTCGTTGTAATGGGAATTGGTTAGTCGTCCCACTTGTCGGGTCCCTCTTCTAGACCAAAAGCTGACCAGTGACCGTCTCTGCAGCCCTGCCAATTGTCCTGGCCCACTCCGACCTCATCCAGATCGAAGCCATGTTCATGTCCATTATCGGCGGTCTCCTTATCTACGGCACAATCATCAGCTTCGGCATGTTCTTCCAGGAGGAGCAGGAGTTCTAAAGCATCCGACCGAACGAAGCGAACCCGGAGAGGTAATCGGTCTTCATGGAGGAGGTGCGGTGGTAGGGGACACAGATCTTTGGCCAGTTGATGAGCGAGGCCTGTACAGTATGACACGTCGGGATCACGAAGGCGCTTAGGGCATTCGGCAGGGAGGAATTGGATCACTGTGTTTGATACGGAGGAGGAGCTTCTCACATGTATATCCAGCATCATTCCGTCAGGCGGGCGTTCCCTAATTCGCTGTTTTGTTATGCGACCATCTAATTCGAGGGCATGGTATTCATTAGACGGAAAGTGTACCGAGGGTCGAGATTGATCATGCTGATAAGTATGAAGTTGTCTCTTTTCCATTTTCTAGAATGGATCATCCGGGTTGTCTAAGTTGAGTCTAATACCCGTGAAGGTCACAAGAGTCTAATATCCCAGATACGTTGAGGTATCATCCAAACACCATGCCTTTATCCCCCGCCAAAAAGTCACAACGCCAGAAAGCCAACGCCCTTGTAAACACTTGCCTGATCTGTTCAGGCTTCGGCAAACACCCCAAGGGGCCCCGCCAACTTGGTGAACATCTCCTCCCTCTCACCCTCCGCCGTGCTGAGAATCGTAACGGCACCACCGGCACCAATATGCCACACTTCTCTGGGCTCCGTCTCGCCCTCCTCAGGCGCCGCAGCCTCGTCGTCCCACTTGAACATGGTCCGGATCGTCACGCTCCAGTCGCCCTTGCCGGTGACGTCCATGTACCCCACCACACCCGAGTACAAGCTCCTCTCCCGGTGCTCCTCGATCTCCTGCAGCAGCTCACAGCTTCGCTTCTTGGGCGCGCCAGTCATGCTGCCCGGAGGCAGACTGGCGGCAAGCACATCAAGCCCGGTATGCTGCTCCTCGATCGCACCCAAGCGCTGCAGCTGCCCACAGACAACGGTTACCATCTGGAAGACGGTGGCGTATTCCTCGACCTTCATCAGATGCGGCACGGCCACGTTCGATCCGCAAATGCTGTGGAGGTCATGGCAGACGAGGTCCACAATCATGAGGTTCTCCGCCTCCTCCTTGGGGACGTGCAAGATATCTTCTGCCTGAGAGAGCGTCGCTACCTCGTTTGACTTGCGGACGGTGCCCTTCATCGGCCTCATGGAGATGGACCCGTCGCTGCCGTATTCAAGGAAGCGCTCCGGCGAGCTGCTGATGAGAGTGGCGCCGCCGAGGCGGATGAACGACCCGAACGGGGCGGGCTGCCGGGTGCGCAGGGTCTTGTACAGCTTCCACGGCGTGACGTGCGCCGACTTGGGGTGGTGGTTGCCGTTGACGCGGTTCGTGTAGGGCTCGGCTGAGGGACGACCCGGGAGCGTGATCGTGGTCTGGTCCGTAAGGCACAGCTCGTACGACTCACCGGCGGCGATGTACTCCTGGCAACGCAGTACCTTGGCCTCGTACTCGCTAGCGTGAGGAACGCGGACAATTGGCCGCGTCGCGACGGTCATGGGATCGAGATGGTGGCCGTTGACAGCGGACTTTCCAGGCTGCCAGAAGTGCGAGGTCTGCAGCGACGCCACCACGGAGTCGATCCAGAAGTCAGCGTTGAGCTTGCGCTTCTGCAAGTGCTGGACGTGAAGGAGCCCCTTGACGTGATCCACGACGATGCTCTTCGTCACCCAAGCCCAGCAGAGGTCAGGTCTCTGGTGCCCTCGGTTAGCGGCCACGGGTACGTCGATGCCCTTCAGCCCCATTTCGTAGGTGAGATAGCCCATGAATCCACCTCTGAAAGGCGTCTCGACATCCAGTGGGGGGTCAGAAGGCCTCTGAGGTGCGCGGGGTGCAGGAATGCGTCTCTTCTCAAAGAAACTGGACAACAAGTGCCAAATGTTCTCCTTAGGGCCAAACGGAATGGTCTCCATCAGATCGATAGGGAGCCCCTGGCTCGAAGGCACGCGAGCTGTGGCAAAGTCGTCCCCGACATGGTATTCAATCCGCAGTGCCTCCTCCACGTCCAGAGCAATGATGCTGTATCTGCCCCGTACATCATTGGCCCCTGTTGCCGTCGTACTTGAGTTGGCTGAATCCAGGATGATATGCTCCGCCCTGCCACTTTTGAGTATCTCCACAATGTCCGGCACCTTGATACCCGCTGGAAGATTCATAGTCTTGAAGACGTACTCGCAGTCAAGTCCAACAGTCGCCAGAGACGTAGGCATCTCCGTCCACGCCAGAACGGGCGCATGTCCTCCCTGAGCTGCAGATCGAACCTCTGAAAGCAGACTCGGCTTCAGAGAGTTCCTCGCCAGAAACTTTCCGTCACTCTTGATCCTTCTTCCCGTCTTCTTGTTCCATTGCATGGCATGCACAAACCAGTTCTGAAGAACAGCATGGCCTGTTTGCTGGGTGCAGACGGATTCCGGGTGGTACTGCAGACCCCAGAAAGGCTTTGTCCGATGCTTGACTCCCATGAGAATCCTCTCATTCCCGTCCTCTCGCTCCTCGACGGCCCAAGCCAAGGGCATCAGATCAGGTACATCACGAGACTCCCATCGCTTGTGCTTCCAGTCCACGTCGGAAACCGAGTCCTGTCCGATGTCGGCGCAAAGGCTGTGATAAAGCGTCGCCTTAAACTCGGGCACACCCTTGAAAATGTCCTCCCAGCACGATGAGTGAGGCATCTCACGCTCAATGGCGCGAACCATACCATGCAAGCCCCGGCGCAGCCTCCTCACCCTCCCACCAGCGCTCAGGACCAAGCTCTGAAACCCAAGACAGATTCCCAACACCGGCAAGAGATTCTCCTCTCGCAGCTTCCAAACGCATCTCATGAGCCCGACGTCCTTCTCATTTTCCGGAGAGCCCGGCCCAGGCCCGCAGACTACCGCATGATAGCGTGAAAGTTCCCGGTGGAAATCATCCTCAAACGTTGGCGAGTCGTGGTCCAGCAGCGGGGTGTCAATCGGCAAAACGTGCACATCCGCCTCCAACAAATCCGTCAAGAGGGAGACGATGTTGTTCGTAAAAGAGTCGTAGGCATCGAGAAACAGGATCTGAGGTCGCGTCATCCTTGGGGACAAAAATCTCCGATTCCCGGACCGAACGACAAGGTCTCGATGCAACGCTCGCCCTCTCTCGAAGCGAACGACTTTTGACACCCGTGTAAATGAGATGAGTCCTTGGAGGGGTTAGAGAAAAAAGACCCGCCGTCGGCTAGCGCCGGAACTTGGACCTTCACAAAGAAATTTTGGTGGCAACGAAGGCAGAAATGAGAAGGCGGTCAGGGCCCGGCGCATGATTCAACGCCGCAGGGCCGTTTGCCAGGGATAAGCTTAATTCGATCGCCGGGTCGATCAGTCATCCCTGGAGGCTCAACCCCTACGACCACAGTCGTGCTCAAGGGCACTTTATTAGCTACGTAAAGAGGCCGCTACGATTGCCAATTCCAAATCTGCTATGAGTCTAGCGCCTACGTCCATCATACAGTTCGTCATACACGATGTAGCTTACGCTGCTAGTCGTGGTCTATCACTTTGACGACGCAGGGTTGCCTCGAATGCCAGATGCGCCGCTCCTTTGCGCCGAGGAGGGCGTTCATCATCGTTTGGGTATCCGATCGTTGTCGCGCCCCTTCCTTCATCTCTTCCTTCTCCTTCTCGTCCTTGGGCTCTTCCCAGATCTGGTATTCCTCGACCGATGCTGCGATCTCGAATTCTCCTCGACAAAGGGCCATAGCTTCGACCTCCACTTCGGTACTGGACTTGGCAGCCAGGGGCGGGAGGGCTTGCTGCAGGGTGCCATTCCAAGCAAATTTCCGTGTAAAGTCTAACGCGACGTTAAGAGGTCTGTGACACAAAGCTGGCATCAACCGCAGCATCGGGTAGACCGGTTGAGCTGAGCGGTTCGTGATGCCCACCTTAATTTGTACGTAGTTGTCGACCAGAATAGAGTGGTCCGCTGCGATGCCAGTATCGGTACTATGGTCCTTGATGGAAATATCGATACCAATGTCGTCGATTCTCAGAGCATCCATCATCCGTGGAGAAAGCCTAATGCTCCGCAGATCGATGTAGCCACCTCGCCTGGGACCGGACACCGCCTTCCAACGAGCTGTAAGCGTGTTGAGAATCTTCTCACGGAACCAGAACGCCTCGCGATTGGAGCGTTCCATGTCCGGTGTAATCTTGCTAGTGCTGACGACGAATTGCCGCTGTCTCGAGGGGTTCAGTGCCGGGATTGAGGCATGTGGGTCGTCGAGGTATATCCGTCTGATAGGGACGATGACTCGGCTGGTATTACCCGGCAGTATGTGTTCGTCAATCAGGATGCCGTCCTCGCCATCGATCTGTACCTCCATATTGTTGGGCCAAGCGTTGCGCAGATCCATGGACAGCAGGCAGAATTCGTCTGCCAGTGTGGATGGGTCGGACTTCGAATCAAGGTGAGTAAGACTGAGAAGTGGCTGAGGGACAGGCCCGCTGAGAGGAAGCACGTCCAGCCTAGAAAGCTCGACGCTGGCATTTACAGTGACCGTCAATTGCAACGCGACTTGGCGAGTGTGATATTGCTCCGTAACTTCCTCTGGTGGCACTCCGAGATGTGCATAGTCGATTTGAATGGCAGCATTCGTCAGCCCTGGCTTGCCTAGGATTTCAAAGTCGAAAGTCGCGGTGCCCCCGGGGGCGATGAAGCGCTTCTCGGGTTCCTTCTTATTCAACCGTCTAAGAGCTTGGCGCTTCATGAGAATAAACTCATACTCATATAGCTCAGCCGGAGTGGCGTCTCTGTTGTTCAGCCCCGCCTGCAACGGCGCCTGGGTGGAGTCCTGGAAAGAGAACAGCATGAAGTCGGCTGGTGTTGTTGAAGACAGGTTTTGGAGGGTGACGGAGAAGACCTGTCTTTCTCCCTCGAGGACCATGATCGATGACTGCGGCAACGTTGTCGACTTGACTACAATGACAGGCTGTTGGGGAATGACATTTAAGCCAATGCTCTCAGCCTTTAGCGGCCGCCCAGGAGTTGTGGAAGAAATGCTGTTTTCGAGAGCAGGCAGCCCGGTGGACTTAACCTTTAACTCTGTCTCGGGAGTCCAAGGCTGCTTGAAAATTGGGAACCTCCTTTCCCGACATCCACGAACGCGTATGATCGCGCCAGTCACTTTCAATGCGCCTGCGCCTCTGGGAGTTCCAGAAACTTTCAGTATTTGCGTCCGGTAGGGGCCAATGACGGTACTTTCGGCATTTGACTCGAATTCCGCTCCACTGGTGTCTAGGCGAATGCTCTCAATGTCGACCTCAATGTCGAAGGGGTTCTGGAGGGTGATCTTGAAGGTTGCTGGCTCGTTCGCTACCAGAGTGTGGATAGAAGTTTTGTCGGGTTGCTTCAAAAATGGATTGTAAATAAAAGGGTTGACATCCTGCGACGTTCTCGCCGTCACAGCCCCCGGGAGAGTACTTTTTGCATGAGGAACTGGTATCCTGCTGTTAGGCAACGGCTCCAGTGTCACACCGCGGACGAAGAACTCATCCCAATACTCTGCGGAAAGGTGATCCAACCCCAGTCTTTTAGCCAAGTTGGACGTCTTGGCAATATTTGTCACCAGCCGTATCTGCTCATCGCGGGAAATGACAGGCGACGCGTCTTCTTTGCGAGGCCCAGGAGCGACGCCAGATCCGGCTGTTCGTAGCAGATCGCTCGAAAACTTCAACACACCGTTGAAGTCGGGCAACGCCTCGGAGAAATTAATACAAGCCCTCAAGATGTTCAACTTGACACTCGTGAACCCGAAGAATCTCGCAGCCGACTGTCCTCGAATTCTATCGATGATAGCAGCGTCTGAGTCTTCCACGGCGACAGCGTCGTTGGAAGGCTGCTTCTTCATATCAAAGCCCACAATACCGTAGGACTTGCACAGAAGAGCCAGAAAGGCCTCGATGCCTTGTTCAACATCTCCCTCACCCAGCTCAAGGGCGACAGCACTATTGCTATGCCCATTGGCAGCGTTAAGAGCAACCAAGCCTGCTGCAGGATGAATTCCCATTTCCGCAGCACCTCGTGTTCGGGCTTCGACGAGGCCGCTGATCAAAACAGAAACAAGCTCTCGTGTGACCATGGCCTTCTTGCGATGATGTCCAAGGGGACCCAGTACTGACGCAATTCCAGCCAGAATTGATGCCCTATCCGCAATCGTGAGAAGCTCTGACGCGGACGAAGGGAATGCGCGAAACAGCAGTGTTGTGATCTGCTGCCGGCTTGGTGTAATGACCAAGCGTGGTGAAGTCGTCAGCTGCTTGTCAGGAAGCTTGCCAAATATGATCATATCCATTGACTTGTCCCCGAGCTTTCCATCAGCAAGATGCAGAGCGGAGAGAACCTTGCAAAAACGGATTGTGGTTTCGGCCAGGGGTAATGGAGGCAAGTGCTCTGAAGATATCCTGGAGTAAAGTCCCACGATGCGCTCCAAGAGGTCCGGCATTATCAGCTGGAGGTTGCGCATGTGCTTCGGCTGGCTGAGATCCGTTGAAGCTGCCTCTAGCGCAGCCAGAGTTGCGGCCGTGGACTTGTCTTGAGGTGGCAGACATACAGTGGGAATTACGAATTCAATCTTTGCCCACCCGAGGAGCAAAAGACTAATGGTAATCAACTCTAAAGCCTTGCCGTGCCAAATATGGTCATTGATTGACCTCGCAACGGTTGCGCCATCTATGGCTTCCTTCAGGGAATCAGTCCAGCGTCCGGCTTGAAGGTAAAGCGAAGCAAGAACGATGGTCACTCTGCCCTTTCCCTTGGCTCTGGAACGCTCATTTAACCCACCGGGACCGAAGCCTTGTACAGACACTCGATCTGAGCTATCGGACTTGAAGTGATCGCCAACAGGGTCAGGTGTCGACGAGCCGCTGCTCATGCTTGCAGCGAGGTCGTCAAAGGTGGTGGGTGGATTAGACAACCCACTCCTTACAGGCGTCGAAGACCGAGCCGGTGTTGAGTTGCTGGATGGTATTGCAGAGTTTGATTTCGAAGGCGCGACAGGCATCGACATGCGGTGCAGATGGCGATCTGGTAGCCCGCTAGTGGAGCTTGACCTCTGAGGCGTTGGCGCAAACTGCGAATTCCTTTTGTTCAATGGCGGAGAACCACTCAGGTCCCAGGATGCGCCGTTGACGTGCTTCATGGCATGTGACTGCCCAGGCGATTCGATGGTCGAGTATGCCTCATACATCTTGGCCACGGTGGTTAATTCGGCAAGGAATTGCGACGTGATGTCGCACATTATGGTCTTCATCGTCGTCCGCTTGCACTCGTCCGGCGGTGGAATGGCGACAAGGCCCTCAGGCATGGAAATCGGGTTCTCTTGAGACGGCACATGGTCGAAGATCAAGACTTGGTGGACCAAGGCCTTGCCAAAGCGGTCACGCAGGTCCTCCAGCTCTTGGTACAGCGTTCGGATGTTCTGCTCGGCGATGGTTGGCGCAGTGTTGGACGAGCGCTTGTTGAAGGCGACCCTGTCAACTTCGGATCCGTCTGCGATCGCAATGATGGCCAGGGGTTCGCGGTAGTGGTCGAAAGGCAGAAGGGCGAGGTGGGAGGGTGGAGGAGTGTGGGTTACGAATTCGTAGAATACGGCACCAGGGGGGAAAGCCAACGGCGAGAACATGTCTGGTACCCAACAGTTAGCAAACAGATGCGCAAATCCAAATCCTGAAGTGAGTGGCACTTGCTTCTATGCGGCCGCCCATCGGGGGTGACATCCCGCAAGGAGACGACATGTTCAGGCCGCAGGCGCTCGACGAAGGACGAGAATCGGTCACTTCTGATCTGGCCTACGGGTAGAATCAATGCCCTCACCCTCGCGGGAGCGATGGGTAACAGCGAGTCCAAGCTCATCCTAGCACTATTGTCTCCCGTCCAGCATCTTCAAGTCAAAGAAAGCGATTTGCGCAGGCAAGCTATGCGACCATGTCGCGATGTGTTCGTCCTAGTTAGATCCACGACAAGTACACGCAGAGGTCGGAGAAGCTAGGCGGGTTGCTTTTCGTTCAACGCCAGGGGAAGCTCGAGCTGGCGATTGTTTGCGCGCGGTTGACAATCAAGCGCAAGACCAGGCTGCAGGTTGGCAGGAAGCTTGCCGTCGTGCAGTGTGCAGGCTGCAGGTTAGGAGTAGAGATGTACGGATAAAGTGGACGGGACGTGACGGGATGGAACTGGCATGCAATGCAGCCACCTCACTGGGTGAATGACGGTGTGCGAACCGACCGGGGGGTTTTCTAGTGGTGGGAGCGATTCCCCAGCGCCCACTGCATTGGGAGGGTCTGCTGAGGTTTCAGGGATTGTAGCAGCTGTCGAAGACGGAGTTGACGCTAAAACAGCCGACGCCACACGACAGCTGGCCCAAGCTCGACCCGGCTCAGGGGGTTGATTGGCTCGTGGCGGGGTCGACGTCGAGCAAGCTGTCCAAAGCCACATCTCCAGCCCCGACAACGGGGGGAGCTTGAGCTGCTGTCGTCAAACGTGTTCACTTACGTACCGCGGGCGTCTTGCGGCAGGTACCTCGCTACTTCACTTACCACAACTCAATTGCGCCTTGCTTTTCTGTAAACGCTCGCTCACACAACTTCGACAAGCAGCTGTGTGAGTGTCACTTATTCAACTCAGAGCTCTCATGGCCGCTGGTTGATCCCTCACACTCCGCAAAAATGGCTCGATTAACGCAATTGGCCGCTCTCATTTCACTTTCCCTTCTCAACATCTTTGGCGCACAGCTGGCCCTTGCAGCGGAAGATGGTCCTGGTTCGGCTTCCGTCCTGACCAGCGAGGTCGGCCGCCTCAACAACCAAAGCTTGTTCTGGGGTCCTTATAAGCCAAACCTGTACTTTGGTGTTCGATCCAGATCTCCTCAGACCCTTTGGACCGGATTGATGTGGTCACGGGTTGACACCTACAACGATGTCCAGAATGGTGGGTTGGGACGACTTTGAACTTAGTAGTTTATGAGCTAACAAACCCCAGGTTTCCGCTACACCTGCGAGCAGCACGAGGGCCTCCATGGCTACGGCTGGGATGAGTACGATGCACGAAAGGGTGGCATTCAGACTATTCACGACGAAGGTAACCAGATCGACATCACCACCGCCTTCGTCAAGGTGCCAGGCGGAGCTCACGGCGGCAGCTGGGCCGCCAGGATCAAGGGTGTTCCCAGAGAGGGTGCTCCTTCAGATGTGAAGACCTTGTTGCACTACTACATTGCCCAGGAAGGCTCCGAAGCTGAGCTTGCCTTCTCCGGCACTGACAGCGATCCGGCTGGTTTCGATGGCGATGTCGAGTTTGAGGGTTCGTCCCCTGAGCTCGGCAAGTACAAGCTGGTCATCACCAAAGGAGAGGGCAAGCACCCCTCTAGCAACCATGACTTGGCCCAAGCCAGACACGGTGACAAGACCGTTGTACGGTCCCTCACGGTTCCCGATGAAATCCAGTGGCAGGGCAAGGGCGTCGTCTTCAACCTCATCCAGGAGAGTGTTAAGGAGGTCCAGGAGAAGTACGACATGGATGACCCGCCTCCGCCTCATCTCGTCTACCAGCTGTCAAACAAGCCCGGCGCAGGCAACACTCACGTTGTTCAGAAGGCATTCGAGGGACCTTTCGAGTTCGACGTCATCTTCTCGTCTGCCTCTGCCGGCCCTGAGCTCACTAGCGCCGATGTCACTCGTGAGGTTAAGACCGTCAGCGAGTCTTTCGGCCAGCGTTTCTCCTCCATCTTCAGCCTGAAGGCCCCTTTCACTGCCGACAAGTACAAGAAGTTCGGCAAGAGTATGTTCTCGAACCTGCTCGGTGGCATTGGTTACTTCCACGGCCAGCATCTTGTCGACCGCTCCTATGCGCCTGAGTACGATGAGGAGAACGAGGGCTTCTGGGAGGAGACTGCTGCAGCCCGTGCACGCAAGGCCCAGGAATTGGAGGGCCCTTACGAACTTTATACCGCTATCCCCTCTCGTCCTTTCTTCCCCCGCGGATTCCTTTGGGACGAAGGCTTCCACTTGATTCCCATCGCCGACTGGGATATTGACCTGACTCTGGAGGTCGTGAAGAGCTGGTTCAACCTGATTGACGAGGATGGATGGATTGCTCGTGAGCAGATTCTCGGCAACGAGGCACGAAGCAAGGTACCCGAGGAGTTCCAGGTCCAGTACCCGCACTATGCCAACCCTCCTACCCTCTTCCTCATCATTGAGGGCTTCATGGAGCGTCTCCGCAAGACCAACGGTAGCCTGCCTGCCGAGAAGGAGCAGCTGGGCCAACCGTCTGCCCTGCAGACCGCCCACTTGGACAACGTCGAGCTGGGAGAGGAGTACCTTCGCAAGCTTTACCCTCTTCTCCGCCGCCAGTATGACTGGTTCCGCAAGACGCAGCGCGGCGATCTCAAGTCTTACGATCGCGAGGCCTTCTCCAAAAAGGAGGGCTACCGCTGGAGGGGCCGCACCGAGACGCACGTCTTGACCAGTGGCCTCGACGACTACCCTCGTCCTCAGCCCCCTCACCCCGGTGAACTCCACGTTGACCTCATGTCGTGGGTTGGTCTGATGACCAAGTCGCTGATGAACATTGCCGACGCCCTTGGTATGATGGAGGAGGTGAACGAGTTCAAGACCACCCTGAACGCCATTCGTCGCAACCTCAACGACCTCCACTGGTCCGAGAAGGAGGGCTGCTACTGCGACGCAACCATTGACGCTTTTGAGGAGCACCAGCTTGTTTGCCACAAGGGCTACATCTCCCTCTTCCCCTTCCTGGTTGGTCTGCTTGAGGCTGACGACCCCAAGCTGGGCAAGCTCCTTGACCTGTTGGGTGACGAGGAACACCTCTTCAGCCCCCACGGCCTGAGGAGTCTCAGTAAGCAAGACGAGTTCTACGGCACCGCCGAGAACTACTGGAGAAGCCCCGTCTGGATGCCCATCAACTACATGGCCGTCTCTCAACTTAGAGTACGTCATCCCTCACACACTCGCTCTTGAAAAGCATGATGCTAACACTGAACAGAACACTGCCAACCAAGATGGTCCCTACAAGGCCAAGGCCGCAGACCTCTTCACCCGTCTGCGCAAGAACCTGGTCGACACTGTCTACAAGAGCTGGGAGAAGACGGGCTTCGCCTGGGAGCAGTACAATCCTGAGACCGGCGAGGGCCAGCGCACGCAGCACTTCACCGGCTGGACGAGCTTGGTCGTCAAGCTGATGGCCATGGAGGAGCCTAGCAAGGCAGGCAGCGGCCACGTCAGAGACGAGCTGTAAATTGCTCCGTCTGCGTAAAAAGTTTTTCCTTCCTTGCAGCATTGTTACGGAACGTATGTATGAAGCATGAGCGATAGACTAGGTGGTTGGGGTGGGTGATGTAGAAAGCACTCGGGAATGATATACAATGAAGACCCGGTGGTCCGAATTGAACGCATCTGCTCTTTTTTTGCGTGTAAATCAACGTCATTCAATCAGCAGAGCATCGTGAGTGGACGAATGTCATCGAACGATACGTAAACCAGGATGGCTTCACACCCCAGTGTCCCTCACAAGAAGGCAGATCGCCATGCTCGAGTTCCAGAAACCCCCATACAACGTCTCGTCCAGGCAGACGCCGCGCACAATGACACGTCCATCGTCGCTACCATCAGAGAATCTGAATCACCAGGCTCTTCCGACCTGTCATCTCTCACCTCTCAAACTCCGTCGGCCGACGGACTTACATCACCAAGATACTTGGTCACCGAAATCCGCCGCGAACGGTCCACACGCAACGGCCGTATATATCGCCTCGTCGAATGAGGACAATTGTACGCGTGGCGGCATCCCGTTCTCCCTGACCGGCAGACTGACGAAACACGCTTGGCAAAACTGCAGTGTTTGTGCAACCACTGTATTTTCCCTTTCCGGCAAGTCGATGCGGGAGAGTCCAAAAGGGGTGGACAGAGAAGGTGAGATGTGGCAGGCGAGGATGTAAGCGACAGCCTAATCCGTGCCGTAAGCAAATACCTCAACGGTGTGGACAGAACTATATGCGATGAGAAGTGCGTAAGCAACACGCCGCATCTAAGCCTTGTGCGCGTACTCCGATCGCCAGAGGCAAGATCCGCCTGGCCCCGGGTCGCTATCGAATCGGTAGCGGGTGCTCTCTTCAAGCGACACGCTTCATCCTTCTCGGCTAGAAGGAAGACGATAATGACGTCTTAAGGTTCTGAGTTCCGGTCTTCAAGGCCGCTGAATACACTGCTAAAATCCTTCAATCCTCCTAGCAACAAGAATCAAGGCCGGAGTCTCGTCCGCGTAGGGCTGGAGACGCGGGATAGCCCGCGGGCACCCGTAGGATCCGGGAGCCTGGTTCCGAACCTGGGCAAAAATCAGCCTCGTACAAAGTCAAGACCTTGGCACCTTCTTCCGTGTAAACTAAGCGACGGGGGGTCTTTCCTGGGGGCCTTTTCTGAGGCAAGGCATCCTTAGCAAAGCGGCGTTTCGTTTCATTGTTTGAGGATGCCATGTGGGTATCGGTCAGCCGGCGGCCGCCTTACAATGACTGCATTACCCGACAGCCATCAGCCCTATTTACCACCCTGCGGCTACTTCAAGACGAGTTCCCATCTGGGGGTGACGAAGATCTTCCACTGTATTGGTGGGGTTACACGGGGGCCGCGCTGTTGCACATGAAGGTTGTGCGCGCGGAGTGGGTGGGTTTGTATCACATATCGTTCGACCTGTACCCGCGAACTGGGCTGCCATTGTGGTCGGACTTGGCGTCAGCAACCAACATGGACTCCATGCAGATCGTAGGGCTGGGCGGCTATACAATGGCGGCCAAAGGGAAAATGAAAGAAGGAGGGCGGATACCACCTCTGACGACTCGTAGGGCTTGACAGCATCTGTCATAGAAGCTGCAGGATCGGTTGCCATTGAAGCCCGACGGGCCATGTACTCGAAGTACGCCAAGAGAGAGGGTTGATACGGCGGAGGATCACATTACGGGGAACCTTTGCTAGGCCTCGCTTGGGGGCCGGAGTAAGAGGCATTGTCATCGAAGTGACGTTATGAGTAAGAATTCTTGATAAGCGCAGCCCCCTAGAGCCTCAGGAGGCTGAGAAAAGGGTGTATGACACTGCAATAATAACGAGGAGAGTTTGGTGAACTATGGCGTCCTGGCGAAGCTGGGGCGACGGTACACAAAATCAGGGCCTGGCGGTGCCAGCTTCGGTAATGGTTGGTGGTGCAATGTGGCAGGAACTATCCAGATGGTGGTGTCTTGAAAAGTTGAGGCTCTTTTGGATTCGGACTCGTTACAATAACTCTCAGAATTGGTGTCAGTCGATATTTGAAGGTAGAATGAGGTGACACTCTCTCACTCATTATGTGATGTATAAGTCGTTCATACGAATGTATTGTCAGCTATCCGACAGGGGATTGTTAGTTCGTTACGGTTACTGTACACCTTTAAAACATGTTTCCATACCATATATCGAGTAACAGACATATCCGCTTCGACGAGACAAACAGAAGCTACAAACACATTTTAGTAATATATGTAATGCATTCAGAATGAGTAGATTCAGAAGAAACTAGATGGACACCTTGAGCTTCCTCGATTATAAGGTAGTCAACGATACATCCTTACGTTTCCTTCTCAAAATAATCAACAGTTTCACACGTCTAGCATAGAAACAGTGCGCAAATCACACCATGGGTACCGGTACTGTACTGTAAAAGCCACAAACAATAATATGAAGAGTCAACTTAGATACTTGAAACAACATGTGCAAGTTTTCAAACTTCGTCATGAATCACAATGGTGTTACAGCTGAGGCCGTAAAATCAAGATAAGAAGTACACAGCAACGTTCAAGACACAACACTTGCATGAGAGATGAAAGGTAAAAAAAGTGAACAAGCCAAGGATCACGGATAACTGCACTCACTACCTTTGAACTTGAATTTTCTTCTCCCTTTTCTTTTCCATTATGGTTTCCAACATGCGTGCTCAATCCATCAAGATTACTTTACTGAATTCTTCCATCTTACTGCTGTTTAGTAGGCAAGTAGGTTGAAGGGCTCTGGAGGACACCACACTGCCTGAGGCGATGACTTACACGATTTAGCGCCTCCGGCCCCCAAAGCAGGGGAGCCACAGCGGTGCCGCACGTGGATGTCAGCGCATTGTTCACCTAGAGGTGCCCGAGCCCGTTCGGGAACCCCACCACATGGGCGGGATCTGTCTTGCAGTTCCCCGACTTCCCAACGACATGTCTTCATTCCTCCTCGTTTCCAATGTAGACTCCTTCGACATACGATGCACCGCGCCCATACGAAAGATCGCGCCAATGGGTTGCATACGAACCAACCCGCCAGTCTGCCCGCCAGTGAGCCTGTCAGGGCAACAGGGGTTGGCAGAGCAGTTGTGTCGCGTCGGCTGAGTCATATCGGGTATCCGTCCATCTCTTCTCGGTCGGGGGAACATCGACAAGCGACACATTTGGATACACGGGTGCCCGGCATGCCTGTGCTGCAGCAGCCTTGCTGCACAGTGACATCCAATTACTTACTTACCACATTCAGAAAGCCAATGACTTCAGGCTTCGGCCTTGCCCGAACCCTTATACAAGGGGTTCGGTGAAGAAGGCGATGTGCTCCGTCTCGAAACATGATGACCACAGCAAAAAAATGGATGCCTTCTCCAAGCGAGGCCAAATCATCTTAGGTCATCGTCTTGATGCAGATGGATACCGCCAGGTCCCTTCCTGCCGAAGCTCCACGCGGCCCCCCACGGAATCAGTATGACTGTTCCCGCCTGCGGAGTCTCCGATTTCTCATCGGCTTTTTGAGGTTTCTAAGCACGGCTGCCGGGACTACGTTCATGTGGTCGTCTCATCACATGTGCGCAGCGAAGCAATATGATGGTGTGGGTGTGTCTATGTACAGCGCCGGATGACTCTTTTCGCCTTGCTCACCCGCAGCGGCGATCATGTACCGGGACAGAGAGGCCGTGTTATTACCAAGACAATTACGGAGAGCAATGGGGGCATTTCCCGCTAATCGGCGAGGACAGGAACCGGACGAAGTGCGGACGAAGCTGTTCGATCCGCGGCGGCAGGACATCAGCAGCGCGGCCGCAGACCAGAGGACACGCCGAAGGCAGATGTGGCTTCTCTTGATTAACGACGAATCACCTTGTGGCGGGTGACTGGGAATCCAAATAAGTCGGACAGATTTGAATTACGCCCCTGTTCACATCGGTCTTTCTTCCAATGATTGTCGAGCATGTCGTTATGTCAGCTGCCAGGCATCCCCCCACCATACCTACTACAGAGTAAGTAATACGTTACACGAAGAACCCTCGTCGTCGTTGATCGCAAAAGAGCCTCTACGAATATACACAGCCTCCCAGATGCTGACAGAAACACTCGACCACTCCCCTGTGGCTGCAACATGACCACAAATCCCCCCCTGCCTGCTTCACCATTATGACTGCGTGCCTTACCGGGCCGACCTGATACGTATCGCTAAGGCAGGAAAGGTGTAGCCCGGATTCTCCAGGCAGAGGCCGGGCTGGTGCTTACTTTGCACACAATCTGGACTCGTGCAAAGGGTCCCCTCAGAAGGACTCAGCCCTACGCCTACTACACCTTCCCTGTCTCCCGGCCTCCCATTCGCCTGATCACGTTGCTCAGCGTTCTTTTCCTGTCTCTCGTGGCTCTTCTGGCGCTTCCACCAAGCCCGCCAAAGTTGGCGCTCCGATCCCGTCCAATCCGTGCGACCCGTCGCCCTGGTAAGTGTCCCTGGCCCATGTCTTTTTCTTCCATTCCTTCTTCCCCTGGTACGGACCACCACCCCCTTATCGATTTCCAACTATTCGGAGTCTGTACAAGCCACGCCCGCCCTTGACATCCAACAGCCCAAAACGGAAATCGCCAGGCGAGACAGCCTATCATGATGCCGTTAATACGGCGAGACCTATCTGGAGTCCTGCGTCTGCCCAGAAGTCCTGTGTCCCAAGAACTAGGCTCAGCACCCATGTCCGCGGCATCCCGGTGCATGCATGTCCTGCTCGCATCTCATCCCGTCTGAAGTCACCCAGAGGACTCACATTTCCCATCCCACCAAGATGGGAGCCCCTGCGAAACCCACCACCATGACGCCCGGAACCTGGGTCCTTTGCAGATGCGCGATGACAATGACACATCTTCGACACACCCACACCCGCGAAACATTCGTACTTCCGTACGACGCGGCGCTTCTTATATCGTGACTGCGCAGAAGTTCCAAGCAGCCCGGCAAACCCTGGCACGCCCGACCCAGACCGACTACGAGTTACACTAGACCAGGGCCCCTAGGGCTAAAGCTTGTTCGCCAACCCCCGGCCCCCGGTTGTGTAATCACCCACCTCCACACTCCAATTTTGGAAGGAATGCTGCCTGGCCGTTCGTGGGGGCCGTGCCGAAGCCAGCAGCCAGCGCCATCGCAGGTCTCTCTGGCTCTGCCTCTTTTTCCGTCATCACTCTGTCTCTCGGTTACCGCAAGCCCGGTTGACAAGCCAATGCCAATGCCATGCGACGCCTTCCGGTGCGGTGCGGTACCCGTACCGGTCGGCCGCGCCTCAGCAGGGAGGCTCAGATGAGGTCAGGTCCCCAGGTAGCCGTGTATCTTGCAATCTAAGGTAGGGCTGGCTCTTACTACGTGCCTACACGATGAGCCTCAACCATGGTCCTCGAGGCAATTTGGTTGCCTTGAGATCTATATAAACACTTGCTAGATCCCCTCAGGAATCAATTTCTTCTCATCATCACAATCATCACACACACACAACAAGCTTAGCTTCAAAGCAAATCTTCAATCTTCCCCACCTTACTCACTTACACCACGCCCTTTCAACCACTTACACCCACAACACCTCCAACCCAAACACTCATAACCATTACAATGGCTGGCTTCACTCTGATGTTCACTCCCACTGCCGCTGTCTACGGACGCTCTGGCTACAACAAGGACGGCGACGAGGAGGAGAACAACAAGGGCCGCTCCGGCTACAACAAGGACGGCAACGACGACGACGACGACAAGAACAAGGGTCGTTCCGGCTACAACAAGGATGGCGATGACGAGGAAGACAAATAAGCGTCTTACCCTCCCGCATCCTCCTCGCCTCTGCGGCCGCCTATCCCGACGCCCTGTCTCGGGACGGCGGCCACTGTCCTGAAAACTGCCATGGGCAACATCATCAACAGTGCCTGCCCTCGCCTTTTTCGCTTCTGCATTAGACCGGAGTTCTGATGTCGCCTCCTTCCCGCTACCCTCTCGGGATAACATGCGGGGAGAGCCAGGATCAACAGCACTGGCTGGCGACTTCCATCCTTTCCTCTCTTTCTCGTCAACTTTGGGATACTAGACCTGCTTTCATACACTCTTCTTCACCACCACTGCATTGGGTCGGAGTTCAGGCTAGAACGAATGAACCGCGCTGGGATCGCTCTTTTGGGATTTTCTTGAGATTTTATCGCATAGCATAGCATCGCGTTGCGCCGTATCGGGTTGAATGGGTCTGCTTTGCTTTCTTTTGTACTTGGGCGTTGAAGGAGCTTGTCTTGCATCCCCCCTCCCCGACATTAGATATACGAGGACTTCACCGTCCGACGCTTGTAGTATCTTAATCACTATTTTCCTACACAGAACCTGAGTCTTCTGTTAGTGACCATGATGGCGGCTTTTTGACTAAAGAATCAAAACTTACTTTTCAAATACCACCCCGAGCACCTCTTCGACGTCACCCGCCTCGATCCGGCCGGTGATTCTTGCCAGGCAATCGGCCGCATATCGGAGATACTCCGCGGCCAGCACAATGTCCGGCTCCTCGCCCTCATGCTCGGGCAGCGCAACCGCCATGAACTCGTCCAAAAGCCCGCGGCACTGCTCCAACAGCTGCGCCTGTCTGGCTGTCACGCCCAACAGGTCCTGCTGGTCCGATGGCAGAGATGTCATGCTAGCGAACGACTCTACGAGCTGGTCCGTAAGCCCATTTATAGCGCCTGGGTCCTTTTGAGATGTGTGTTGCGACTGAGCTTCTCGGCACGAGATCGTAATGAGCTCGACTTTACTTAAGTCAGGCACATGGGCGTCGATCTCGCTCCGAAATTGCGTGACAAGTTTGGCGAATGTGGATGAGTCTACTGCATCCCGCTTGTTTACGACAACGAGGCATGCCTGAGCCTCAGAGGCAAGCTTCAACGTTTCCGCATCGTAGTTTATCCTGAAACCCCCTTCACGGCTAGGCTCAACGGCTGCCAAGACGATGATGATGTCTGATTCTGCAGCCTTTTGCTTCGCGCGGCGGATACCTTCCTCCTCAATTTTACCCAGCGCAGGCTCGTTGGGATCGGCCGCAACGCTGTGCGGAGTTTTCGTCCTGATGCCAGCCGTGTCCGCAAAGGAACACAGGTAGCCCCTGATGTCGAGGCTGACTTCCACGATATCTCGCGTCGTGCCGGCCTCCTTCGACACGATCGACGCCTCCCGGCCCACGATGAGGTTCATCAGCGAGCTCTTGCCGACGTTGGGCGGGCCCAGGAGCGCGATGCGTATGCCGTTCCTCAGCAGCTCGCTGCGCTGGCTCGCCGCCTCGTGACGCAGTATGCTCTGCCGCATGTCGGTCATCAAGGCGTTCACATTACTCATCAGATCCGCGGGGGACTCGTCAAAGTGCTGGTCCTCCGCGAAGTCGATGAGCGCCTCGAGCTCGCCGCGTGCGAGCAGGAGCTGCTCCCGCCAGGCGTCGTACGTGCGCCCAAGGACGCCGGAGTTTCCGCGGACGGCCGCCCTCCGCTGCTGCTCGGTGTCGGCGGACAGGGTGTCGCCGAGGGACTCGACCTGCGCGAGGTCCAGCCTGTCGTTGAGGAACGCTCGCTTGGTGAACTCGCCGGGCTCGGCGTAGCGGATCCTGCCTTCTGATTTGCACTTGGGAATTGCTGCGAGAACGGCTTTGACGGTTGCGGAGCCGCCGTGCACGTGGAGCTCAAGAACGTCTTCTCCCGTGACCGTCTTCGGGCCGGGGAAGTTGAGGACCAGGGCGTTTGAGTCGAGAATAGAGGCGTCATCGCCTGCTTGTGGGTCCACAAGTGTCCTTACAGCTGCGTAACGGGGTTTAGGAAGGGGCCGTTTCGGGCACAATCCTTCGTATACCTGTGCAAACAGTTAGAATGTAATGAATGTTGAACTTTTAAGGGGCAGCTAACGTCTGTACATCCGGGACCAGATATGCGTATTACCGCAATACCGGCGCGGCCTTGAGCAGTGGACAAGGCATACACTGTATCATCCACTGTTTCATCCTGAAGCCCGAAATCGGGCTGAGTTGTGAAGAATCTGGAGTGGATGGATAGCCCGGCGGAGACAGGCCGTCGCATCGGCCGACGGTGACCCCACGGAGCCGGCCCCGGTCCGGGCAAACGGCCTCGACCACTAACACATCTCGCAGCAGCTCCGGACGATGACAGCGTCCTGGCCAAACTCCTCGGCGTTCGGAAAAAGATAGGCATGGACTAATGACACGACTCTGAGAAAAGAAGAATAATTCTATTGAACGAACAGCCGGAAAACCCTCATCATTGAGTGCGTGAATGAAATCGCATTCAGAGACCTGGACGGAAAGAAATTCAGAGGGTCCACCTTACGCCGGCGAAGCTCTGTGTAACGCACGGATGCCCATTGGCCAGACGGCCCGTTTTGCCTCCGGTCTTATCGCGATAAGTATCCCTGCGACTGCTCGATTCTGAAATTTTTTGGGAGACTGCCAAAGAAAAACCAGCGCCCCGCCGCCTCTCTTTTCCCCGTGAGCTTCGCAGCATTCGACCAACGGCAAGGCTTCCATCAATACCGGCCTTGTTTGTTCGTTCGCAAAACCGTCACAATGGCGTCCGACGAGATTATCTGGTACGGTTTTAGTCTCTGAAATTTGTTATTGTCTTTTGTTGCTGACTTGGATCCAGGCAAATCATCAACCAGCAGTTCTGCAGCTTCAAGCTCTCGACAGACAAGAAGCAGACCTTCTGCAGAAACGAGTACAATGTCACCGGCCTCTGCAACCGCCAGTCGTGCCCATTGGCCAACTCTCGCTATGCGACGATTCGCCGCGCCCCCAACAAGGACACGCTGTACCTGTACATGAAGACGATCGAGCGCGCGCACATGCCGTCGAAGCTATGGGAGCGCATCAAGCTGCCCAACAACTACCAACAGGCTCTGGAGAAGATTGACGACAAGCTCATCTACTGGCCCAAGTTTCTCGTGCACAAGTGCAAGCAGCGTCTCACGCGCCTGACGCAGGTCAACATTCGCATGCGGAGGATAGCGGCGGAGGAGGAGCGCATGGGCGAGAAGCTCGTGCCCAAGATGGCGCCCAAGATCAGGCGTCGCGAGGAGGCGAGAGAGCGCAAGGCGGAGGCGGCGGCGAAGCTGGAGAAGACCATCGAGCGCGAGCTCGTCGAGAGATTACGATCCGGCGCGTACGGCGACCAGCCCCTCAACGTTAGCGAGTCGATCTGGAAGAGGGTTCTCAATGCCATGGAGAAGGAGGGCGAGGGCAAGCGTGACAAGGACATGGACCCGGGTATCGAGTCCGAGGAGGAGGCCGACGAGGAGGCTGAGGACGAGTCCGAGGATGACCTCGAGAAGGAGGTCGAATACGTGTCTGACATCGAGGAGAGCGACGAGGAGCTCGAGGATATTGAGGACTGGCTCGAGAGCGACGAGGAGGAGGCCGACGAGGACGAGGAGAGCGAAGACTCGGAAGACAGCGACGAGGAGACGGATCGCAAGGCGGGTGATAAGCGGAAGCGTGGCAGGGCGGTCAAGATGAACCAGAAGAGGCTCAAGCAGAAGCAAGCGGAGCGTCCCAAGATCGCGGAGGAGTTGACCTGGTAGAGAGGCTCGGGGTGTTTTTCACACTGGCGTCTGGCGCGAATACCTTAATGGCTGGCTACGGATGGAAAAAAGTTGAACCCGGAGGCATTGTGCATACCACTGCATTGTCACATATACTGTCAGAACGGAGTTTTAATTGTTGAGTTATCGTTGATCGCATCTACATCGTCGTCTCATCACTACACACGTCAGTAGACAACTGAGCATGTCCCTGGTGCAACATGGCAAATGCTTATTTTAGGGAAACTGAAGGTTTGAACAGACTCTAATTAGAGTATTGCGACCCCCTCACTAGAGATCTGACAAGCTTCTCGAAAAGTCTTTCGATGAACCCAGCAAGATTTGCGTCTCCCGGGCGATGATCCAAGCGCTCACCGAGTACCCGTGGAGCTAGCGCCGGCGGAGGGGTGGGTTCTTCACCGACGAACCCAAGCGCCTCAATTAGTGCAAGTCCCCTTACAACAATGCGGGCAGGCCCCACCGCTGGCATGCATTCAGTGTCATTGCCGCCGAGCCACAAGTGTTCCCGGGTCGGGGGCCCAACCCAGGTCGACCTTCATTCCCTATCATTCAAAGGCCGGCTTATTTGAAACAGACCACTTCAAGCAACTCTCCACGATTACGCCGCCTTCACGAAACAGCACCCGGGGGTCTTTTCTCGATTCTTTCTCCTTTTTCCCAAGCATTGACGGGCGACCAACAAACTCAGCGAGCGAACACCTCTTTTTTTCTGGCCCTGCGAAACGCACGAAGCGCGGTAATTCGTCGTGTCCCGGAGCTCTCATTTTACCCCAACCCGTCCGACACCAGAGCGTCGTCGAAAAAGCAGCAGCAGCAGCACCCTTTCTTTTGCCCCGCAGGATCCTCGCAGGCAAGGAACAGGCACGATGTCATCGTGGTACTCGAGGATCCTCACCAACACCACCTCCCAGATCTCGAGCTTGCAGAGCCGACTGCTGCAGAGCGAAAATGACGGCGACACCGAGGACGACACCCACGTCTGCAGAGTGCTGAGAGCCTACTACACCGAGAAGGGCCGTCCGTTTCCGGGCTGGCTGCCCCCCGACCCAAAGGCGCCGCCGCCAGCGGCCCCCGTCTACGCCCAGCCTGCCAGCCAGGTCGGCTCGCGATACGGAGGTCTGCAGCCGCAGCAGCAGCCTGGTCCTACCACGGGACTGAGCTCGCTGTGGGATAGCAACGGCGGGGCACAACCGCGGCAGGATACTATGAGCCTTCGGCAGGGCCGCGGCGCCCCGCCCCCGATGCGAGGCGGCGAACAGCCGGCGCGACTGAGCCCGTTCGCGAGGGCCGGTGACAGTGGGCGAGACGATGTGCAGGCTCGGCCTCTACCTAGCCAGCGGGCGGGAAGCTACCAGTCGAGCGCGGCATACGGACGAGAGGCAGTGAGCACACCGCCCGGTAGCTCGGGTGGAGGAGGAGGTGGCGGCGGTGGTTCAGCACAGGACCGGCTTAAGCAGCGACTCTGGGGAGGTGCGAGAACGACGAGCCCGGCGTCGGGAGGTAGCCAGGGACCTTTCCAACCACCGGCACGAGGTGGCTCAGGTGACTACGAAGATCGGTTTGCTCCTGGGGGCATGTACGATGGAGGCGGAGCAGGAGGCGGAGGTAAGCCTTTCATGACAGCAAACTCGCCGTGGTTGAACAACGAGACTGACTTTGGTGGAGGCGGTGGCCGACCAACAGGACTTCCAAGCGGACCAAGACGAACTGGACTTCCGAGCGGTCCTCGAATGCGATAAGATGGCAGTTTGTATGGCGGAGGACATATGGTGTGCACGCGAGGGCAGATCTCGGACATATCGACTGGCTCATCGTGGGCTTATTCTGCGAGGAGAACTTGTTCAGCCGGGGTCACCAGGCGGGCTCGCGAGGCAGACGGCAACGACTTTCAAGCTTCTGCGGCCGTATTTCAACGTTCAGCAGCGCGGACCTCGCGCACGAGGGCGGGGTATGTATGTTGCTGGGAGACATGCCGTCCAAAAGGTGCGAGAGCAGAGCTGAGGCACAAAATACAACCACTAATACTCATATGATGAAGAAGCATGCAAGCGAGAAACGGTTCCTATCAAGACTGTCCATCGCAGTGACAAGTGCAGCGACGTAATGTTCCCTCGTCATCCAGTGCGTCTTGGTCGCTACAGCTCGCAAAATGACTCCATCGTGATGATCCAACTCCGCGACTCGATACTTGATCTGGCAAGTCGAAACATCGCGAGTAGCGGCGCAACGAGTTGCTTGCGCGTGCAGTACGTAAATGCCAATAAAGCAGCCAGAGGCGCGAATGACGACGCATGCATGCTGCAGATGACATGGTCTGCCTAAGAGCTTCAGGTAGCTATACCGCTAGCGGGCACCAACTTGACGCCTAAGTGGCTGTACAGATACAGTGGGAACAGCCCCTCCGAGACATGGTGCGAGCTTCCGTAGCGGGGTGGCAGCGCCTCTGCTGTCGATGACCACGCACCTTGGTGCTCGGCTCACCCCAACATCTCATATCACTAGCCACACTTCGCTCACATGCTGTTGCCTTCCCCAGACTCTTTGCCCCTTCTCCAGTTCCTCTTATTCTGACGAGAGAAACCTTATCAACCCTGCCGAATTTTTGTCTCTTACCCTTCTGAATAGTCTCACACACCTCTTAGACTTCCCAGGTCCCCGGGTGCCTGGAATCCCGTCTTACATCATCACAGGCGCCACCGCACGATGACCTCAGACTCAGATCCCCCGCCATCGTCGAGCGCCCCCCAACCGGGAGGCCCTCGCTCGCCGTCAGGGAGTTTCTACGCCCTCAGCGACGACGAGGAGGGTGATTACAACACAATCACGCACACCGAGACCGGCCGAGGCGTGAAGCTGCTCTTCTCCAAAAGCAAGGTGAGTCTCACGCGAACGCAACCCATCTCGCCACCCCACTACGGCCCGGAACTGACGGGAAGCTTTCCCCCACGATGTAGGTCTACGTGCATCCCACACCCTCAGCGAAGGATAATATTCCCGGATACATCGCTCTGCTGCAACAAAAAGGCGCCCGTGGCGAACGACCGACATCCTCTTCCTCCCGCGACTCGAAGCAACCCACCGCCGACGATTTGCTGCTAGCATGGCTCCCCGAAACGTCCCTCGGCGAGGTCGAGAGCATATACGTCAAGGTCGACCTTAGCGAGGGTGAATCGCCACCGAAACAGTCCTACCTCGTCCCTCCACCGCCGACGGTCACATCCCACCGAGGATCCATCGGCACGTATGCCTTCGCTATACCTGTGAGCGCGATCTACTCGCTGCTCGTGCGCCCGCCGAGCCTGGGATGGTGGTTCGGCTCGCTTATTATCAACTCGCGCGCCGGCGACAGCTTCCCTGCGCTTTTCTTTCACGACAATGAGTGCCAGAGTACCATCTTGAAGAGGAAGAGGCGGACGAGGGATAGTTTCGACCCGTTCGGCGATCGCGGGGAGATGTTCTGGGGTGGCGACGAGGTGCTGCGATGGCTGAAGCGTTACATCCCGATCGAGAGATCTGGCGCCGAGCCCAATATCTATCTGGTTGACCCGTCGAAGGAGGATAGTGAGGCTTTCGGCGGTAAGGTCACCGCTAGCACTGCGCAGTCTCAGCGGGACGGTGCCAGCGGGAGCGCTTCAGGATCTAGGCCCGGCGGTGCTGGTGCCGATGCGCAGATGGACCCGTTTGTGAAGTTGATCAAGGAGACTGGGTGGAATATCATGGAGAAGTTCAGCAAGGTCACGACGTTTACGCGGAGGGCGGCGCAGGATGTCATCCAGAACCCGAACGTGCCGCCGCAGGTAAAGAGGTTATTGAGGAATCCTGAGGTCCAGACGTTGCAGGATGAGTTCGACAGTGCTAGGATATACCTCGCCCGCTGGGCGATGGGAATCGCTGAGCAGAGCGAGCGCGATCGCAGCCAGAGGATATGGACTGCGAGGGAAGTCTTGGAGCTTGAGGACACCGATGTTGGCGAGTTTGAGCTTCTCGACGGGAGTAGCACCATGTCGCTCGAGGACAGGAGAAAGCCAGTCAACTTGAAGGAGTGGAACACATTCTTCGATCAGCGTACTGGAAGGCTCTCTGTCACCATCGACGAAGTAAAGGAGAGAATATTCCACGGAGGACTCGATCCCGACGATGGCGTGCGCAAGGAGGCGTGGCTGTTTATTCTGGGAGTATATGATTGGTATAGCACAGCTGAGGAACGCAAGGTGCAGATCGCGTCGTTGAGGGATGAGTACGTCAAGCTCAAGGGCGCCTGGTGGGAGCGACTGGTAGATATGGGAGGCGAGGGCGACGACGGAGAGTGGTGGCGCGAACAACGCGGCCGCATCGGTAAGCCTTGATTCTTCAACCCCTGAATCACATTCACTAACAAGAAAACAGAGAAGGACGTCCATCGAACAGATCGCAATGTCCCTATCTTCGCTGGTGAGGACATTCCTCACCCCGACCCGGATTCCCCCTTTTCCGAAGTCGGCACCAACGTCCACCTCGAGCAGATGAAGGATATGCTTCTCACCTACAACGAGTACAACAAGGACCTTGGATACGTGCAGGGCATGTCCGACCTCCTCGCTCCCATCTATGCTGTCATGCAAGATGACGCCATCGCCTTCTGGGGCTTCCAGCACTTCATGGACCGCATGGAGCGTAATTTCTTGCGTGACCAGTCAGGCATGCGTGCTCAGCTCCTCACCCTCGATCATCTTGTTCAGTTCATGGATCCCAAGCTGTACGAGCATCTTAAGTCGGCCGACAGCACCAACTTTTTCTTCTTCTTCCGCATGTTGCTCGTATGGTATAAACGTGAGTTCCAGTGGATGGATGTATTGAGATTGTGGGAGATCCTGTGGACGGATTACCTGAGCAGCAGCTTCCACTTGTTTGTGGCGCTGGCTATTCTCGAGAAGCATCGGGATGTTATCATGACTCACTTGCAACACTTTGATGAGGTCTTGAAATATGGTATGTCATTACCCCTTCAGCCCCTGGAATTTGTTACTAACAGATGCCACAGTCAACGAGCTGTCCAACACAATGGACCTCGACTCAACCCTGATCCGCGCTGAAGCCCTCTTCCGTCGCTTCCAGCGTCTCGTCGAGGCAGTTGACAAGAAGGGCAACTTCCCGCCGCCCAAGATTCGCGACCCCCCTGCTTCCCCGTCAAAGTCGACCGATGAGACACCCAAGCAGGGCGAGAACAGCGCTGGACCGGCCTCGCCGCGTAAAGACAACAGCAGAGACAACAACAACAACAACGACAACAACAAGAACAGTGGCAAGAAGCCTGAAGAACCGCAGGTTCAGAAGGTTATTACACCGGAACTGCGGGAGTTACTTAGTCGTAAGGTGGTGGTTCTCCCACGGAAGACAGTGGCGAAAAAGGGTGACGGGCCTAACCGGTCATGATGACGAGTTAATGCGCGGGTAATGGTATGGGATGGAGGCAAGGCGTTTTCAGGGATGGACTTAGGGGGCACGGGGTGAAGTAACATAGCTGTATATGACAGTAATACGCATTCGAACTCTGAACGATATTTTCCTCCGACAATCTACCCAGCTATGTTTTCCTACCACCATCACGAAGCTCGAGATTTTTTTGTTTTTTATTTTTGACTGCAATCGGTAAAGAACTTGGACTTTTCATTGAAATCCTATTACACGCAAGTTTAGGCGGAGTGAATTGCTGAAGGCTTTGTCGAACGATACTGCGACGTAGTGGAAATGCCCTAATGATTATCTGGTATCAACCTGATTGTTGCCTTTTCCCAGAGAAAACCCAACATCAGTGATCTCTGGACGATCTTTGTAAAAAAAACCGCCTGACTTAAGAGTCGTTGCCGCCAACAACGGCCTTCCACCGACAAGAAAGGGAACCTGCTTGTCAAACCACATCTTTGCATCCAATAATGAAACACCCGCCATAAAAGCGTCAACTAGCGACCAGAATCGCTTCGCTTCTTCCTGAAGTTTGTCACTTTTCCTTGCATCTGGAGATTTTGGGTGATCCATCCACTCAATCGCAGACACGATGACTTCTGGCCCAGGCTTTCCCCAGGTGGTTTTGGTGGCGGCAGCGGCAGAATAGGGGCCAAGAATCACCGCAGAGTGCATTGATCGACCTCCTTCCATATTCGCGCTCCCGATGTTTTCAAGGACCAAGAAACGGAAGATATGAGTGCCATAATGGCGGTTTGCTCCAACAGACAGTGCAAATGCACCTGGAATAGGTTCGGACTCTAAATCAGCTGCCGGTGGAAACACTTCCACCAACCTAGCCGATGGAATGAATTTGTATAAATCGGCCAACTGTATGCGCACCCTGAGGAAGTTGTTGCGAAAGAAGTCGAGAACCCTAGGTCCTAATATCAACACTCTCCTGTGGGCTGTTCCTTCAGGGATGTGCCCAGCGTTGATCACGACAGGTCGAGAAGGAGGTCGGATCATTTGCTGTTCATAATTTGTCCCCTTTGAACCAGACGATGAAGCCAGTAATGGGAAGCACAGGTGACGCGTTGATAAACCTTTGAAACCGAGTTGTGGGTGAATATGAACCTCCCATACTGCGTAGTGCACATCGTATCTGTCCGGAATCGATCCAACACCGACGTTTGGAAGTTGGAATATCCGCAGTGATATTTCAAGACCTTTATTGTTCAGGTGAAAAGGTTCGTCTGACCAGCGTTCCACCATGTTCAAGTTTCCAAAGTAGGATGGCGATGGGGCGAAGATAGTACTGCGAATCAATATTGACTCGTTGTAACCCCAAGCAAGCAGGCTATGCCCCCTGTGCTCTTTGAGAATCTCTTTTTGCAGCCGTATAAAGGCATCCTCCCCTTCACCATAGAGGAGAGGCATGTTAATGTTGAAGATTCCCATCAAGCAGTATGCCATATCTTCCTTGCGTGATGTGTTCCTCTTTCTCGCCCACCCTAATCTCACAGCAACAGCAAACGAACTAAGTGGCAATGTATCCAAATCTTTTATGAGAATACCGGTTATGCGTTGTATTTTCGTTGAGAAAGATTTCTTGCTTCCAATGAAGGCTCAAGGTTTATCGTAGAAAAGTACCTTCCTAGGCGCAATGAGCTCTTGAAGGGTCCAGCCTCGAGTGAACCAGCGAGAATCCTCAAACAGATCTCGTGTGCGAGCCCGTCTTCGTACATCCGATAAGAATGCAAAGCAAACGGTTGACTTTTCGTACCAGCGGAACATCGAGTTTATAGCTTCCGAGAGTTCGGAACTACTCGACTTGTCGATGCAGCAAGTATCAACCCACAGATACCGCAGTCGCTTTTCTTCCGCCAGACGCGCGCTTTGGACGATCTTCTCGAACCCCGACCGACGACATATGGCGGTTGCTTTTTCTTTCCGCCGTTTATGAGTTCGAGATATGAGGGCTGGCAGGGAAGTGGGTTCAAGTCGTTTGTTTTCGTAGTCGTTCAGCCAACAGAGATCCTGGAATCCTGGAACGAGACCTCTTCCTGTCCCCAGGTGTGGGAAAGAATCGCATATCGGGGAACGTTATCGTCAAAGAACTCCTTCAGCTCAAGCGTCTTCACGTCGATCAGCCTCATGGCGTCGAGCTGTTCTGGGCAACAGGTAGAGTGGTACAGTCGTCTGCTAATGTGCCGTCGGAAACAGAGACTTGGTGGAGAATATCGTAGAAAGGTTGAATACTGAAAGTGCCCCTCAATGCGACTTGCGAGGTGATAAAGCCTGCACGGGGGGTGTCAGAAGAAGGGCGAGGGAAGTGGAAAATCAGGCTGCAGGTGCTGCGCCAATCAGGCTGATCGGGGGGCGCAGCGATGCGAGAGGGGTTTGCATGATGTATACAGTTTCCACATGACCAATAGAGTTGAATGTAGTAATGTATTCTCTTGAAATGTACAAATGCCCTCCTTGTGCTGCCAAACTCCTACAATGCAAGAAACAAACCAAGGCAACCGTTGTGGTCATGAAATAGGAGTCTAAGTCTGGGGATCCCGATGCCGTTGCCAATGTCGACGACGTGCTGATGACCGTGCCCTGTGTCGTCTAGACGACCTCTAATCAAACAAAGTGTATCGTGCGTTTCCTGGCGCTTGTCTATTGCTCTCTTGATACGAAGGAGGGGCCGATGGCGGCTGGGAAGGTGCGGGAGGGAGAGCAAGGGGTGCGGCTGGAGCAGCAGCAGCTTGCTGGGTCCACTGTGCCGTCTTCATTACCATCTTGGCGAAGTATTGCTGGATGAATGACTCCCTGTAAATTGTTAGTGCAACTCAAAGGAAAGGGAAACGAATCGACATACGTGTAGTAGCTGTGGTCCGAGTTGTGAGGCTGAACCAAGTTGTGCGCCAGCTCATGAGCCAACACAACCCACCACCAAACGCCTGCCTCAGCTTTTCCTTCGCCTCCTGGAGATCTGCTGAGCTTGTCGGCATGTAGTTGCAGGAAGAAGCGCAGGTTACAGAAAACGCTGCCGTTGCTGTTGAATGCGATGGTGGAACCCGACTCATCATAGAAAATGTGAAGGACTCGCGGAGACAGGGAGTAGACGCCGCCCACCTCAGTAAGCAGGGCGGCAAAAGAATTGATGGCGCCATGGTATGTCGACAAGAATTGACCTGCATCTGTTGAGAGGTTCCTGGAAACAAAAACCTTCATAGTGTTTGATGCCTCGGCAGCGAACACAATGTTCTGTGCTGGTGTACTGTCGCAATATGTGGCCTGCTCCTTGACCTCGTTCACTGTCGGCGGCGAGAAGACGCTATTCGAGTCGTGCGCTCTTGTCGAATTGATGGCGTTGAGGAGGTTCTGACCAACAGTGGCCGGATTGGTCACACGTCCATCATCCTTGCCCTTGTTCGAGCCACCGCCGCTGCTACTGCCAGGCTGCCCTGGAGCTCCGTGCTGATGGTTCTCTTGAGGTTTGTCGATGAACTTCTGGAGCTGATCCTCTGCCTCATCGTCATCATTGGTTTCGAAACCGAAGCGACGTGAGAGGTTCGAGAACAAGCTCTTGCTCTTTCGGTTCGGTTGCGGAGGCGGCAACTTGTGGGATTCTTCTGGGCTGTCGGCTCCGAATGAGCCTGGCATGACGGGTTCTGGAGTTCTATTCGCGACCTGTCGAGCAGCCTCGGCGGCCTTGGCTTGCTGACCCCATTCTTGCTCTCTCTCCTGGATGCGCTTCTGCTCCGCTTCGAGTGCCTTGCGGCGCTCCTCCTCGGCGATTCTTGCCTCAGCAGCCTTTGCTCGCAAAATACGATCTACGTTGTATCCACGAGCTCGCAAGCCGAGAAGATCGAGTGTTAGGAACGGCTCGAAGAAGAGGTAGGCTTGCTGATTAGGTCTCGTCAAGAGGAGCTGACAAATGGCCTGTCCGACTTGGTACATGTCGGGTTGTCCGTCAGCAGCGACGTACAAGATCCAGCTAGAACCAGACTGAGCGCTGGCAGCAGATCTCTTCTCCGTGTGTGATTGGCTGTGGCCCCTGAGTGAACGACGCAGCGCAACAGAGCGTACAAGCTCAACTTGCAAGCTCTTCTCCAGCCACTTGGCATCACGCTTGATGTAATCTCGGCGGTAATTGGCGTATTCGTGGAGGAAAATCTTTGAGCGCTCCAACACGTGCTTCCGCAACTTGGCTGCCCGGTCTTGCTTATCGGCATGGGGACCAATTCTGACTTCCTCCTCTACCAGCGAACTCAAGTTCTGGGCGCCCAGTTGATGGTAAAAATCCTCGAGGACCTCTTCCTCAGGGGCTGTGATCAAGTAGTCCTTGAAAAGACGGTAGCTGATGATGTCGTCGAGAATAACAATCCGACTGGCCGCAGCGAGCTGGTATTGTTTGATGGGTGCGTCTGCATCGTCATCGTCGATGTCAACAAGTCTATCCTTATTCGGAGACGGGATCTCCTTGGCGGCGAGGAGGAAAGGCGACGACTTCATCTTTCTGACCAACTCCTTATCTCTCTTGAGCGTAGCCCAGTTCTCGGCCAACGACTTCAGCAAGGCGAGGTACTTATCCGGGCTTTGCAAGATGCTGAGCAAGCGAGCTGGCTCGCTGCAAGCAAGATTCGCAATTTCAGGTTTTGTAGGTTCGTTCTTGGCCCCGCACTTGAAGAGAAACGTGTTGGCATTGGTGCCAAAGTCAACAAAGTCAAAGATATTGCCATAAGTCGCAGAAGTCCCAAGGTAGCATCTTTTCGGGCTGATGTGGGTGACGTAAGAGCCAGACTTCTCACTGCCCTCTCGAGCCTGCCGACTGACTGGAACAATCGGTGCGTCGCGCAGCTTGGCCAAACTGCCTTCGCCGAGATCTCCGATACGCAGAGCAAAGTAGTCGAACAGAGCGATAGCCTTTTGACGGTCCTGAGGTGGCTTGGCCAGCAGACGGGAGACACACTCGGCGATAGGCGGGTCTCTAACAACACCAAATTTGTTCGCATGCACATGGAGTTCCTTCTTCAGGATATCGAAGCCCAGAATTGCTGCGCCCTCGTTTGTAAAGCAAGCAGCCGGTGTCACCAATCTGTTCTCGTTTTGTAGAGGCAAGAAAGCCCTGCGACTGTCGGCAAGGTTAAAGGAACCGTATCCGTTGATGTGATGATTTGCGATGAAGTAGGTCATTGCACAGGTCCGAAGCTCTGCGTCCTTGGAGCACATCATTTCCACCACTTCGGGAACGGAGGGATAAGGCCGTAAGCCTAAGATTGCTAGAAATCGCCCCTCATTGCTGTTGGCCCTGAAACTTCCGGGCGGGCCAGGCCATTGCAGAATGGGCAGTTGGAGCACTCGCAGAGTGTCCTTCGGCTCAAACAATTCCGACACCTTGTAGAGTTGAGTGCTTCCCTTGGTTGGCTCCATTCCCCTCGGCCCGGCTTCTGCGGGGCAAAAGCGTGTGTCCTTGAGCTTTCTCATATCTTCTGCGGGGATGTCGTCCCTGACAGACGCGAGATACTTGACAAGTTCCATGTGACTCCATTTCTGGGCACCGCCTTCAGCTGATGGGCTCAGAAGTCTGGAGAAAATGGTATCCAAGTCGACTGTCTTGCGCACTCCGATGGCTGACAAGAACTTGTCCTTCAGACTCTGGCAACCCTGGATGATAGGCAAGTCATCGAAAAGCTTGACGGTGGGGAAGAAAGCCTCCGTTGGCCTCTTCATGCCCATCTTCGTAGGCATTACAGTATGAGCCTGCAGAAGAGTTGTGATGGTGGCTTTGGAGCTCTGGCTGGTGTTGTCCCAATTCTTGGACAAGACTGTCAGAATCTGAACAGCGAACTTGGCTGACTTCTTAATGTTCTGCTCATCGGGCTTGCTCGAGCTGGTCTCGATGAGGAACCGGAGCCATGGCACAACTTCAAGAGGGTCCCAGCCAAGAGCCTGCAATTCAGGAGCGGTGCAAGTGTTCGTGTACGCCAGAGGGATAGTTGTAGGAGGGATGGGCAGATTCGCTGGAATCTTGTTCGCCAGTTGGTAGTTTGTGATGGTGCCAAGGGCGATAATTTCGCCTTGACCACCGTCCTCACTTACTGTCGCAACCGCGACATCCAGAAGTCTGGCTTTGCTGGGAGGATCCAGCTCCCCATTGAGGGCTTTCTTTCCGGCCCAGTTGATAAAGTTGATCAGCTGCTCCTTGTTCATGGCCTTGGCCTCAAGCTCAGATCGAACATCATCGACAGTAATGGGACTAATAAGCCCAAAGTCGATCAACTTGCGGACGAACGAGTTCTCCATCAGCTCTTTGGGAACAACAGGAATGGTATCGACAAACTTGGCAAGTTCGTCAGAACCGATTCGGACCTTGGTTGTCGACAAAACGCCACGAGAGGAGAAAATCTCAATAGAGGCCTTCTTGAAGGCAGTCCAGAATGACTCTTCTAAAATCTGTGCGACATGACCGCTTGGTGTGGAATCAGAGAACGTGAAAGTCTTGAGAATATGCAGTGCTTCAGGCATGAGCTTTGCGGCGTCCGCGGCAGACAGCTTCGATCCCGTGCCGGCAATGCTCTTAACCTTCGAGTCTAGATCACTCATCTCGTTGATGAAGGCCAGTCTCGTCATGATACCAGCAGCTCGGAGCATCTCAATGTTCCAGGTTCTGACCCAACGAGCGTTGAGATCGATCGCCTCACGCTCCACAGTTGGGATGACCGACTGAGCGGAAATGTGCATACCTGCACCGGTTGTCTGCGTGGTGGGGAAACCGATGAAGATGCGGCCACCCGGTTTCTTGCTCGGCAGAACTGACGCAAACACGTCGACAGACTTTGAAATAGTAGCAGAGCGCGAGCTCTCCGATGCCATAGTCTCATCATAAGAAGAAGTGAGGATGGCCAATTTTGTGGTTTTTGGGGGCGGCTTCTTTGTTGCTCGCTCCAACTCACTGGCGAAGGAGGACGACACATGGGTCTTGACCGCTGCAGTCGTTACTCGGAGGAAGATGGTTGATGTAGAGATCTTAGTCACATCCTCGCTAATCTCTTCCTGAGCTGCGGCCTCCTCTCTTTGCTGCTTGCCTTTGGCGGTTGCTTGTGTCGCCGAAGAGGTCAATCTGGAGAAGAAGCTTCTGAGCGAAGGGACTTCAGAACTC